ATCAAAATCACACATCTAATTAGTTATCAATTACATAAACATTACATCATTAATTATTTAATTAACCAAAAAAATTATATCTTTATTAATAACAAATTAATTTTTAAACAAAACTATTAAATATAAACTAGGCAAACGTGCATTGCACGTTACTTGCACATAGTATATATATATATAGACACACACACAACATACACACGACCATTCTAATTATTCTAACATTTTCTTACAAGAGTGACCAAAAACTTGTCAAAAACTTTAAATGTCACATTTAATGTTCTGAAATGAATTGTCAATATAAAATTGAATGATTTCAATATTTTTGGTTGTGACTTTTGACCACGTAATCGGAATAGTTGAGAAGTTTCGTGGCAATCAAGAAAGTAGTGAGTAGAAACCAAAATTAGAGATTCTTGCGTTAGCTTGAATTTAATGATTCAAAATTGGCATTCTAATTTAAGGTAGAAAAAATTAATTTCTACGTTATCCGTTAACCTCTTATGTTGATTTATACGAATGCAGTGATGAATGAAGAGTTGATAAAAGTTCTACAAATTGAATCATGTCATGTGTATAATTTATAAAGAAGTAAAGAGGAAGAAAGTATGAATATAAATGGAGCAAGTTTCATGATATATAGGATAATTTTCCTTGATCGAATAAAGATAAAATAAAAATAATGTACAAAGCATCTCCAAAAGATTATATTTAAAAAGTTAATTATCCTATGCATAAAAAGGAGATTTTAAAATTCAGCCATTGTTTTTTATAAAAAATAATTTTTTTAGTAGATTTTGAAAAAAATTGAAGAAATGTATAGTTGAAATATTAACAAAAGTTGTTGGTCTTATGAAATGTATGATTAAAAATGAATTTTAAGAAATGTGTACCATACATGAGCTTAGCAAGTAAGTTTTTACACTGCAATAATGTTTTCTGTTTTGGCTCTTTATTTATTTTTTTTCAAAAATATTTATTGATTCTTCCTATTTTTTATTCAGTCCATGTTTGGTATGAATTAAAATCAAGATTTTAATATAATTCAAAGTCAACAATTAATTTTAACCACACATTTTATGGAACTCATAACTTTTCAACCACACATTCTATTAATTTTTTTTTTCAAAAAATCTAATTTTAATGATTATCAAATAAGGGTGGAGCCCAATTGTGTGCCTGCACTGAACTTCGAGCCAGGCCCAAATTAGTTTATATATAAAGTATAAACTCATGCCATACATTTCAGACCTCCTCTTTGCTCAGCTTCGCCTCTCCATTATCCGTGACTCTATTGTGCCTCAGCCTCTCAATCTTGTCTTTCGTTGCCTTCTACCATCGACCGACTCGGTACATAGGTTTTTCTTGTGTCTATTTGTTATGGTTGAACTGAATTCTAATCCTCAAATTCACAATTACAACGACACAAACAAAAATTAAAGCAACCTTCAATACCAAACACTTGAATTTAGGGGCGGACGTTGACATTTTTAGTTATGGACACAATCAAACTTACAAAAAAGTTGTAAATAACTTTACATTCGAAAATTTACATTAAAAAAAATCACACCCCATGTAATTTTACATCTGAAAATTTACATGGATTATGACTTTACTTTTTCGAATGTAAAATTTCAAAAATTTTGATATCATATATCATGTAAAATAATAATAATAATTGAATTTTTTTAAGGAAAAGTTGAGTTAGACCCCTCTTTTTAAGACGCACGTTTGACACATTTTTAACTATTCTCGATATATTAGTTTGGAATAACCTACCTTGACAAACTGTAACATTTGTCACAGTTTGTCGTTTTACGCGCCATTAACAACGTAGAAAACTAGTTTGTGAGCATTTCGAAATGATATTAAAAATGCAATATTTTGACTTCATTTGATATTCCATAATGATTTCGAAAATTGAGACAAAAACATAGTAGGAAGAAGTAATAATAATTGGCGGCAAAGTTGGGGTCACGTGACCCATGTACACCCGTGTCCGCCCTGCTTGAATTTATGTACAAGTAGCATGATCCTTTTAGTTATGGACACAATCAAATTTGCAAAAAAGTTGTAAATAACTTTACATTCGAAAATTTACATTAAAAAAAAAGCATACCACATGTAATTTAACATCTGAAAATTTACATGGATTATGACTTTACTTTTTCGAATGTAAAATTTCAAAAATTTTGATATCATATCTCATGTAAAATAATAATAATAATTGAATTTTTTTAAGGAAAAGATGAGTTAGACCCCTCTTTTTAAGGCGAACGTTTGACACATTTTTAACTATTCTCGATATATTAGTTTGGAATGACCTACTTTGATAAGCTGTAACATTTGTCACAGTTTGTCGTTTCACGCGCTATTAACAACGTAGAAAACTAGGTTGTGAGCATTTCGAATGCAATATTTTGACTTCATTTGATATTCCGTAATGATTTCGAAAATTGAGACAAAAACATAGTAGGAAGAAGTAATAATA